ATGCTTAGTGGACCGCATGGATAAAAGGATGTCATGATTATGTAGGATCAGATGGTGCTATTGATCAATAAGTACTATTGATTCACTGATTTCTCTGATTTGGCAACATTTTCTTTCTCTGTCTCTAGTTATTGAGTGGCTCACTTCCTCTACCTGACACATTCTTCAGATAGTTGAAATGTCACCCTTTCATCAAAGGTGAAAGGACAAATTCAACTCCCTGCAGCCTCCTTTTCTGATGGCATATCCCCCCCCCCCCCCCCCCCCCCCCCCCCCCCCCCCGCCCTGCCCAGCACAGAGAGCACTGAGCTAGTGAAGGAGTGTATTGTTTGTTTGGTTAATAAGATTAATTTTGCAGCTATCCATAAGATGCTTCATGATTCTGGGAAGAATTAAAACAAGAGTCCCAGTGTGACAACCCTTATATACAGTTAATATACAACCCTAATGTATAACTAATATACAACCCTTATATACAACTAATATACAACCTTTACATCCAACTAACATACAACCCTAATGTACAACTAATATACAACCCTTATATACAGCTAATATATAACCCTAATGTACAACTAATATACAACCCTTAAATATACAACTCTTACATCTAGCTAATATGCAACCCTTATATGCAGCTAATGTACAACTCTAATGTACAACTAATATACAACCCTCATATACAGCTAATATACAACCCTAATTACAATTAATAGACAACCCTAATGTACAACTAATATGCAACCCTTATATACAGCTAATATACAACCCTAATGTACAGCCCTTAGGTGTATGTATATTAAAATAGATTTAGAAGTAAATCTGCTTCCAGGGAGTGGTGGCCCATGCCTTTAATCCCAGCACTCAGGAGGCAGAGACAGGCTGATCTCTGGGTTCGGGGCCAGCTTGGAAAATAGATCTAGTCCCAGGACAGCAAGGGCTACGCAGAGAAAACTTGTCTGGAAAAAAAAAACAAAACACTTCTACTGCTATTTCATACTCTAATATTATCATGAAATGAAAGTATTTACATGTCCAATAAGTTAATAGCAATTTAAGATATTGTGATCACATCTGTACCACAAATATTATTTTATAAAAATTAAGATCTTGTGAAGTCACATGTGACCTTCACTACGACAGGACTGTTGAGTTAACCTCTCTGCTGGGAAACTCAAGCAGGAAACTTGGCAGTGTGTGAACTGGAAGTGTAACTTCAGTCATTAATGGATCAATCAAAAAACTGATTCTGTTTGAGGAACTGATTTTGGTAATAACTTTTAAACAGAAAACAAAAATCCCCTACCTACTGAGTTTCCCTCTCATTTGGTGGGCATAGCTACATACTTATTTGCTAATTAGAACATGCTCAGAGCCAACATGTACCCATCAGGGAAACAAATTTTGGATTTCAATACGACTGCAGTTGCACTTTTTGCCTTTGCTACTTTCCTTGACTTTTATTTTCATTCTGTGCATAGCGACTCCTTAATTAACATTTTAGATGAGACCGTCAAAACCTCGGAGATGGCAGGCTGCTACTATTCTTGGTCTTGCTGACACTTCCCCGTGGCAGAGTGAGGCAGAGTGACAGACACAGCTGCTAGTCATTCTAAGGAATCTGCCTGGGGTTCACATGAAAGTCGGGTCAAAGAAGCTTCCTTCCTTCATTTATTTATTTACTGTTAAAACGGTTTTAACCGTCCTGAGGAGCTCAACCCGAACAGAAAACCACTCTAGGGGACAGGTTTGTGCTTGGACCCTTTTGAAGGGCCACAGCTCATGCACCACCCCCCGCCCCCCCCCCCCCCCCCCCACACACACTCCCCAAATACAAATCCCTAATTCAAACTGTGTGTTTCTCAGCAATGTTTTCAAGTCTCTGTGTTCACGGCATTGTGAAAAATACAGACGTGTAAAAGATGTTCTCTGCTGGCAGGAGGTTTGCAAGCTTCCTGGTTTCCTTCTAGCTTACCCTAAGGCTCAGTGCTCTCCGAGCTGTTCACATCAGCTGCATAAAGCAGCATCATTTGCTTCTGTTTTATAAGGAAAAATCGGTTACTACGAAATTTCTTATGCTGAACACATCGACAATAAAGTCAGCCTAGCTGGTGAGCAGACACATAGGGCGGGCATGGGATAGACACATGCCTAGAGCAGGGGGATAGGCTCCCCGCTCAGTGGTGCACCAAGTTAAGGCCTGTTACTGAAATACCTTGAGAAAAGAGGACACATTCCCCTTTATATAATGAAAGAACTTGGGGATGACAGTGGTGACTTTGCAAGACTTTTTAGGTAGGAAGCATGCCATAAAAGAGCAAGTAAGAGAGACTCGTGCAGCTTGCCATTGCAAAATGAGTCTTCTGAGCTGGAGGAGAGTCAGTGGGAAGAGAGGGAACTTTAAGCTGCCCAAGGAACAAGAAGCAAATGGATGGCCTGGGACTTCTGCAGCCTTTGGACATGGAGTGTGTACCCTGTGCATGTACATACATGTCCTGGGTCTTCTGCAGCCTTTGGACACGGAGTGTGTACCCTGTGCATATACATACATGTCCTGGGACTTCTGCAGCCTTTGGACACGGAGTGTGTACCCTGTGCATGTACATATGTGCCCTGGGACTTCTGCAGCCTTTGGACACGGAGTGTGTACCCTGTGCATGTACATATGTGTCCTGGGACTTCTGTAGCCTTTGGACACCAAGTGTGTACCCTGTGCATGTACATGTAGCAGGAATCTCAAAGAGTCTTATTAATAAAATCAAACCTGAGACCAGTTATTGGGGTTATCACTGGAAGATCAGAGAGACAGAACAAGCCACAGCTAACCTCACCTCACCAGTTCCTCAGCTGATCCTGTTTCCTCAGACTGGAAGCCTCTGAGTCCTCATCCAGAATGAATCTCAGCTGAACTGCTACTTGAAAGCCTGAAAGCTTAACTAGCCAAATGCTTAACCAGGCCAAAATGCTTCTAGTTTCTGGTCTTCACGCCTTATATATCTTTCTGTTTTTGCCATCACTCCCTGGGATTAAATGCTCGCTTTCTGAGATTAAAGGTGTGAGTCACCATGCCTGGCTGTATCCTTGAACACATGGATTTCTGCCTCTGGAATGCTAGGATTAAAGGCGTGTGCTACCACTGCCTATCCTCTATGCTTAATATTGTGGCTGTTCTGTCTCTGACCCCAGATAACTTTATTAGGGTGCACAATATTTTGGGGAACACAATACCACCACATGTACATACGTGTCCTGGGACCTCTGCAGCCTTTGTACCCACAGAGTACATACCCTGTGCCTGATCTGGAAATAGCATCAGAAAAGCAAGACAACATGGACCTGTCCTGCATTAGACTGATTCACAGTGTGACGGGAGCATACAGACATGGGACTGGTCCTGACAGGAACATGGACTCAGCAAAGGGCAGACGGACTGATGTTGGAGGTAGGGAGAAAATCAGTTTCAATACAATCTGTGATGAGATACAGGAATAGAAATAAACGGACTTGCCATGAGCAGCCTTCGCTCTAAAGTATCCGTGTTGATATGACCAGTGAGGTCAATGATCACAAAACTCTTGCAGGAATGCAAGTAGAATTATTTCGAGCACATGGTAGCAGTCTACATCCCTTCCTGCTAGCCTAATTCCTGAGACATTCTGTCATGGCATCCATCCTCCCTCTAACATCTAGGAGATCAGCATCCTAATTATATTTAAGGAAAAACTGTAAGCCGGTTGTTCTGGTGGCCGAGGCTGGGAGACTGCAAGTTTGAGGACAGCCTAGGCTACATAGCGAAACAATACCTCAAAAATAAAATCATAAAATAAAGCAAAACAAAAGAAAGTTGAGTATTTTTGTTTAAATAAACGTAGATGGTAATCTGGTCTGAAACCGCAATCATGGGATTGCCGGTGCTTCTCACCACGCCCGCGGATGGCTCCAGGATCCCAAGGCTTCTGTGGCTACACTGTGCACGTCTCATTTTTATGAGAGTCTTTCTTCTCTGGTCTCTCTTCTTTCTTTCCCTCCCTGTGTTGCCAGAACCTTTAGGACATGGGTTCTGGACTGGGAAGAACTATGGCAGGTAGGAGAGCGCATTCTGTTCCCTGCAGCTTCTCTGGGTTCTTCCACTTCTTGGGTCCTGGAGACCTCCCAAGACTGCCTGAGGCAGCTGGAGAGTCTCATCTGTCTTCTCTTCTCTGCTTGGCTGTGCACTCACTGATGGCTAAAGGAGCGGCCCGTGGCGTGGGAGAAGTGAAGAGGGTCGCTACAGTGCTCTCCCATAGCTTCCGTTTCCTCCAGAGACCCCACGCTAGGCAGGCTCTTAGCTAGCTTTGACAGTGCCTAGGCTGTTGAGAGCGTGTGGGGGCCTGCAGAGAGCTGGGCTGTGTGTGTACTGTTACTTTAGACAATGACTTCATTCATTATTGCTTCCTGTTCTCAAGGCAGCCGGCGAAGACAGACTGGCCTGGAACTTTTAAGTGTGTGGATTGCTAAGGTTACCTCCTGGTAGGGAAGAGAAAATCTGGGTGTTAGAGGGGGACCAAGCTCAGGTAGCTGCTTAGGACATTGGCTCTGTGGAATATTCTAGAAATCACCGGCAGATCACAGCCTCTTGTAGAATTCTCTTCTGCCCGGAGTTGGCCCAGCTTCTTCTTTCAGGTTGTCTCAACAAAACTCTGCATCTTGTCTGTTCTCCCCATCCCCAGGTTCATTTTCTGATCTGCCAGGGACCCACCTGTGACTTTAATGTGGGCCTGCCTGAGCTCCACCCTCCAACACCCTGTGGTTATCAGTCCCCCACCCTGATGTTATCATCTACAGGAAATCAAAACACCATGTGTGTGAGCATAAAATTCTGTCATTTATTTATGCTGCAGACTTCAGGAAGAGGAGAGAAAAAAAAAATCACAGCTTTCTTTTCATTAAAAAAAAAAAAAAATTGGCACAATGTTTAATCCTCGGTGACCTTAAGTCAGCCTGTTATTACCAACCAGGAAATGCCTGACCCACAGGTCCTCACTGCTATCGTGAACTCCGAACATTTTAAAAATGGAACTAAAAAATAAAGTAATTACCTCTTCATGTGTTAAAAAGTTAAGTTGAATTGCCCGTTGCCATGGAGATGGTTTCCTGTTTACCACACTGGTCTTCTCACAGCTGTTGAAGACCAGTCAACCCAGCCAATGGGAAAACAGCATTTAGCTTCCCTTATTCCATTAGTGTTAGAGACAGTGAGTCAATACAACCTGTAATTTACCAGTCAAAACTTTGGTAAATTTTATTTTCATATATATATATTAGTGGTTCTACATTAAAAAGAAAATCCATTGTAGGGAACCAGCACTATGGCTAAAATAACATGATTTTGTATTTTGAGAGGTGGGGGCATCCCTATGTTTAAAATACCCTACCTGTGCCTTTTGACATCCTGGTATAGCATTTCCAGTATCTCAGACAGGTTCTTGCAATATGGAACTTTCCTGTTTCCTCTTCACATGTAAAGAAAGCTGCACTGCTACCCAATAGTGATGTAAAATAGTCTTAATAACAATAGCAAGGCTGTGACTTTCATTCCCATCCCCAAGGACCCCAGAATTCTAAAGTACACTACTCAATGTGTGATAATAAATAAAATAATTTGAAAACTGGGAAGTTTTTTTCTCCTTGTCTGCACGTAAAAATAATATCAAGCTACCTAATGAGTCTTGAGAGATGGTACCACAGATCTGAGTAACAAAATCTATTGAAGAGGAAAGGTGTGGGGGACTTGGGGAAAGTGCCAAACACTGGAATACAAAGTCAGGGGATAAAGAAGAAAGGTGAACTGTGTACTTTCTCTTGATATTTATCAGGGAGGAAGCCAGCTTGAAGCTTCAAAATGACCCTCATGTTGGACAGTTGACCTCTACCCGCAGCTCCAGGTCACCTTCCACCTAGCCCCTTCTTCACCGTAGGTGCGTCCTGACCTTGGAAGAAGCCCAACGCTCCCCTATTGTACCCTCTGGCCTTTGCCACATTCTACCTGCCCACACCTTTTGGGTCTGTTCTTCCTGTCCCCTTCCCATCACCTCTCTGTCCCTCTCTGCTGCCCCTGGGTAACACCTGTGGCTTTTGAATATACCTAACTACGTCAGTGAAAATGATGGGTGCCACCTTGAGCATGCTAGGTACTTCAACTTTATACTAAATGATGAAAGTATTTGTGGTCATTTCAGAGCTGGACAATCATTTCCTAGTGCCCTCGGGGGGTTGGTTCTAGGAACCCTCACAATACCAGACTGTGGAAGAAGTTTCCAATGGTGCAGTATTGGTGGGTGACCTAGTCCACCGTCCTGTTCACTTCGGATTGATTCTAGATGGCATAACACCCAATGTGTTGAAACGCTGTGTGAAGAGCTGTAGATAGTATTTAGAGAAACATGACAAGATAAAAGGTCTGGACGTGTTCAGTGGTATGACATCTCAGCAAGTCTGGAATTTTGTCTGAAAGCCTTTCTGTGAGAGACAAGTGAGCAGCTATCGTTTCAGAAGGAATGATACAGAATTCAGGCAAAAGTGAATGTTGTAGAAGAGTTTTTGCATCTGTGTTGAGACTGAACTTGGCCATATGTTAGTCTTATCAATACCTGTGCATTTATCAGAAATATCCCCTTCTCCACTGAGGGACTCTTTGTATCTGAAACACAGCTATTTTTTAAAACCCACCATGTGAAAGTATTGTCAGCAGCTTCATAGAATTCTGCTGCGTATTTTTTTTTTAGGATGAAATCCAGTTCACTGTCCAATACCACCTCTGCCTGCCTAATGTGAAAAGTTTGTATTTTTGTCACTCTTCATTGTGGGAGACACGGTTCAGCTTTGCCTGGCAGCTGGTGAAAGTTTGCTTTCTGTCATCTAAGAGGATAGAGGGAAGGGAGAGGGCCGACAGGCACATGGTATGACTGGAAGTGCCCTTGAAGTGAGGGAGGACCGTGGTGTGGACATCAGCAGTGAACTAGTGAAGAGGCGTGACCCGGAAGCACCAGAAGGTTGCAGCCATCTGCTGCCCACAGTGACCTGAGTACTAGTCAGCAGCCCCTACCTTGTTTCTAGTCTAAGGTGGAGCCACACCGATGCCTCAAGAATTAGATCTGTCTGTCATCACTTCACACAAATGCTTCGACTTCTGTTTGCTCTGACTCTTGGCCTTGGTCAGCATATTTGGGACGCCTCTGTCTCAACGGCTTACATTATCCATTTGTCAGCGCGTTACATAAAAGGTATGAAAGGCTGTGAACTTCTGCAAGAGGAAGGAGCCGAAGGAGGAGGTGGCACGCGGTGTACTGCTCCTGTCTGACACATGTCGAGCAGCAGTAGATGCTGTTCACAGAAACGCCAGCCACGCATGCCCGCCTCTAGAGAGACAGGTCACACAGTAGCAGCAGCTCACGACAGCTGGGTTTCCTAGCCTCTAAGCTGAGTGGTCAAACACTTCTGTGCTGGAGAAGAAGAAAAATAAATAAAATAAAATAAATGCATGCAGTCTTTTCCCCTCCTGTAGCTGGGTTAGACATTAGTCATCTGTTCGGGGAAACTCGGGCAACATGGCATACATTTAGAATGCTGGATGCTGAGTTTAATCTGATCTGCAGCATGTTTACGTGTTATAGTTTGGGGTAGGTTCATGGGCCTGAGGTTTATGCGTGAGGAAAGGGAGCCATGGGTATGTCAAGTCAGAACCTATTTGGGTGACAAGAGCATCCCGGGGGACACAGCTGGGCTTGAGCCTCATTGAGTGTAATGAAGACGACCGCGGACAGCGGCTGGGACCTCCTCGCTGCCACCGTCACCATCTCTAACTCTTACAAGACCTTAGGCCGGAATTCTGACCCCAGGCAGGAGAACTGGGAGACTAGGATCCGGCAACTGCTCAAGCTCTCTCCTGGGAACTCTTGGTGCGTCTAGCCCTTTATTCCTTCCTTCTGTCCTCTCTCCTTATTAGGGTCACCGTCCAGCCATGTCAGCACGAATACACGCAGCGCTAAGCTGCTTCACGAGCAATGCAGAGAGCCAGGCACGGTGGCTCGGATCTGTAATTCCAGCACTTACACAGCTGAGCATCGCAAGTTCGAGGCCAGCCTGTGTGGCGTTATGGGTTTCAGTTCAGCTGGGGCTCGATGGCAGGATCCTGTCTTAAACACAGTGAGAAATACATTTTATCCAGTAGGATTTTAGCCTGTAATTAATATTTACGGATCAAATTATTTAACATTATAGTCTCTCCTATCAAGCCTTCCAGACACGGCGTGTGTCAAGTACAAGTTCATCCTGGTTTGGCAGTAGCCGCATTTCAAGTGGCTGTTAACTGTGGGTGGCTGTGGCTGCCTACAGGACAGGAACTGCTCGCCGTGACCTCCTTCTGGGTGGCTGATGCTTGGTCTCTAGGGTCTCTGTCAGTCAGTCTGTCCTTTCTGTGGCTGCCCCTCAGAAATCTCTGGTAACCCACTTACCTTCCAATCGGCTCCGAGGCTCCTTCGGTTTTGCCTTTCCTTTCCCAGCTCCACCTCTAGGGGGCAGCTCCAAAAGGTGTCCCAGGGAGCCCTCTAGTGACTGCTCTCGGGAATGCACAGGACTTCGCAAAAACAACCCTGGGGAGGGGGGGAAAGGGAAATAAATTGAATCAAACAAATAAGGCATCAAAGTCCCATTCCAGAGTCTCTATGAGTTCCAGATGACTCGGCAGCTCTTCCAGTCATTTCTGTAGCACAATTCAAGGCAGCGAAGTCGCTCCTAAGTCAGCTGTGCTCTAAGATGATCACTCTCAGGGGTTTTCAATGGAGCCTCCATCACCCTCTCATGCCACTGGCAAAATTCAGCTTTCTAGAGAAGCATCTTAAGGCTCTGCTTCTCTTGTTTACTCCCAAAGCCCTCAGGGCGTAACAGACCTATGCTAATCCGCCATTAGTCTAACACTAACTTTTCTTCATGGAGCTCATAGGCACAGGTAAGCTGACCCATCCCAGGACCAGGAGCAGACATGCCTGGACTTGGAACATCAGTGTATCAAGATGGCAAGACTGACTCCATCAATGCATGAAGGTCCCTGGACCAAGGGAAAGGGGACAGTCAGCTTCCAGAGACAGTTTTATGGGAGCTTCTGAGCAAGGACTCCCTTCTTTCTACAGTGTGTGTACTGGAGGAGACTATTCTCTCCCCTCCCGCGCATGGTCGGTACACCCAAAGTGAGAAATTTCAGTGGCCATCTTTGCTACCAAGAAGAGACTGCATCCTGCATCCCCAAGAGAGACAAAGCCAACGCAGAGGCATGGAAGCAGCCTGGGGAACTCTACAGAGACCAGCTGGGACTACAGTGTTGCACTTCCGAGTACATGATCTGTAAATAATGCGGTGGATAGGAAGTCGGGAGGTATGTGTGACTTGTAGGAGGACTACCTTGTACCTTGTATGCAGAAACTTCTCTGCATAATCTACAAGCTACTGGTAACAGATAAAAAGTGAAACTTCGTGGAATTATTTTTATGCAAACACACACACACACACACACACACACACACACACACACACACACACAGTGTGTGTCGGGGGGTGATGCCCTATGCTCTTAAATTAGGTTTGATAAGTTGGATTTATACTAAACTTTGCAGGCTGAGGTGGGTAAAACAAGGTACCTGCTTTCTCCTCTTAGAACAAGGGACAGGGACTCAGTTTGACATTAAGTTAGAAACATTGTTTTAAAAAGTGAGCTCCCAGAAGTCTACAGACTGAGATTTTAACTCGAAATAAAGAGAAATGACAGTTCTGAAAAACAAGTCTTGGGGAGCTTTGTGTTGGAAGGATTTTCTCTGCCCCTGGTGTAGAGGAAAGTTTCTCCGGTCCTACCTTGCCCAGAAGTCCAGATGAATCTCTCCCACCCGTGGTCCTACAGCTGCTTATAAAATGATCACTCAGAGGCTTATATTAACTGCACACTGTATGGCCGACGGCTTCAGCTTCTTGCTAGCTAGCTCTTTCATCTTAAATTAACCCATTTCTATAAGTCTATATGTTGCCATGTGGCTGTGACATCTTGTTGCTCCTTCCGTGGCGGACTTGTGTCTCTCCCAACTCTGCCCTTCTTCTCTCTGTATCTCTGCTTAGATTTCCTGCCTGGCTGTAAGCTTTTTTTTGCCACAGGCCAAAACAGCTTTATTTATTATCCAATGGGAGCCCCACATATTCACAACATCCAGAATGATATCCCATAGCACCCTGGTGTAGATGATCTGAGTGTTTAGCAGCTTGCTAATCTTATTTGGGACCAACGGGAAGATGATGAAGCCATGAAATCCACAACATGCCACACAGCAGGCCAGCCAGCCCCTCCCTTCCTTCTTCCGACTGCAGCTTTACAACCTCCAGCCTATAGGAAGGGGAATGAGGACAGGTAACTCACCACAGGGTCATCTTTGTCTAGGGAAAAGCAGTTTCTTAGCCCTGACCTAACATGGTCTTGATTTGTAGCCCAGGCTAGCCTAGAACTCTTGGTCCTCCTGCCTCAGCCTTGCAGAGGCTGGCGTTACAGGTGTGTGTCAATCAGGCCCGGTCCTCACTTACCTCTCATGATCTACAAGACTCCACCTAGACATGGGGCGCACTGACTAGGCCAGGCTGGCGGGCCCCTGAGGCCCAGGGATCTGCCTGTTTCTACTTGCCCAGCACTGGGTTACCAGAGTGTGCCACCATGCATGCCCACTGTCCTCATGATTGCAGGGCAAGAGTGTCACTGACCGAACATCACCCCAGCTCTCATTTTGTCACGTTTACCAAGGACAGATGGGGGGTGGGGCTGGACGAGGGAGCAGAGCGGACAAGTGACTGGCCCCTGGGTTCAGTTTTAATCTCTGTCGTTTACCAGTGCGTAACCTTTATGAAGTCATTTACGGGCTCTGGTAGGCAGTGCCTGTATGCAGAGAATGAGGGAGCTAGAAGAGTTTGGGGAAGACATACGCTGAAGCTACACACATGACCTGTGATCTGTGTTCAGGATCCAAGGCTCATTTAGCTCACAGGTGAACGCTTCTGATCAAATACGATTCTGGAGAGACAACGGCCTCACTGGTGACAAAGGTGTGGTTTGTTGGTTGATTTGGTTTGTCTGTGGCAGTGCTGATGACCCAAAGGAGACAGCTACACAGACCTTGATTCGGTAGGGGCTTCACTGCAATTAAAAAAACTGGCTTTTTAGATTTTACTTTGTATTTGAAATTTCAGCATTGGAAATGCCTATTTGTAATATGAAAAAAAGCCCATCCATAAATAAGTCTAACAATCCTTTGAAGAAGTACGAATGACCGTGACAGGCCGAAGACAGAGTCTATCACAACAAGTGGTTATTTGGGTATGTATGGATAAGTTTCCCTCAAACATACACATACATGCACATGAATATGTGCAAGTACACACACACACACAGACACACACACACTCACACTCACACACACACACACTATTGGGTGTACTCTGATTCTCCACTTTTCTGCTTTGTAGGCTTTTCCTGAATACTCCCTGTCCTCTTGAGGGGCAGAATTGACTCCTGCAACTCAGTACATTAACATGATAGGATGGGGGTGAACTATTGCATTTGTCTTCTTTGAACAAGGACTTAGGAGGCACTTCAGGGGAAGTAGGATGAGTTTAGATACTCCCTGGATTTAAAAGTACTTCAAATAATTATGTATTTCATATAAATAATTTTTAGACCTTGTAAAATCTTTGAAAAATTGCATATTATAAAGCAACTCATTAATACTGTTAAGAAGACAAGATTCCCCCACTCCCCATCCCAACCGCCACCCCACCTCCAGAGTTGCGAACATCTCCACAATAGGAGTAAACAACACCCAAGGATGGAAGTGAACATGATCCCTCATACTCAGAGGAGAGGTCTCAGAGTTGCTTTGGACAAAGAAAATAATACCCTAGTTTTTTTTTTAAAGGTCATTGGGGGGCTGGTGGGCTTGATAATGTTTTCCCCAAAGGTATTTTTGAAGATATCCACTTATTTAAGAGCATGTTATCATGTTAGACAAGAGTGCTTGTGATGTGTTCTGCTTTCCTGGAACAACCTGTGAGCAAAAGCGTGATAAGCTGAGCCAGTGCTCTCTGGAGCTAGACAAATGTTACATATCTCCCCCAATGTTTGGGTTTTTCTAAACCAGAAACATTTTGCTCTAATCTCGTTCCTCCTGATTTTTAATAAGCCATTTGGATTTAGAGGGAATTTTATTTCACATGTGTTTAACTGGCTTACACATATGTGGCGTCGTAGGTGACTGAGAACCCTGTGTTTGTCTTAAAGGCTGCTTGCCTCACCACACAAGCCAGGGTTCTATCAAAGGCCCGCATCTGAAAGTCTTACGGTGACTTTAAAATTGCAGTTGTAGGGGAGACGGAATCCTGGCAGGTTGTCACCCCACACGAGAGTGTTTCAGGAAGAAAGAGCTTGAAGTAAGGCAGCCTGTAAACTTGACAGGACTTCCCACTGAAACCTGCCCTGGCCATAAACGACAGGCACCCGTGACCGGGGCAGTCAGACAAAAGAAGTCTCAGCTCAGCTTTGAAATCGTCCAGTGTGGTTGCCTCCCTGAGTAAGACCACGTCCAGTAACACCCCAACAAACCACAACAGAACCTTCAAATCAACTGTAACAGCTGCAGATTTCTACTTAGAGAGTGTGCTGGAAGAGCGGCTGAAATCACACCAAGGTCAATCACACAGACTTGGGGAGAGAGTTTTCCTTCTACTGAATGCCTCCTACAGCCCAGCAGAATGCCCAGCTTTCTCCTTTGTGAGCATTGACTATGGGTGTGGACAAGACAGGCGTGTGGAGCTGCTGTAGAGTGAGGCGGGGAACTAATGTCCAGATTAAAACACATTGGTTAGAGCCTGGATGCACTGTGGGAGCCCGTTTTCAGGTTCCTCGTGGCTTTACCCAGCAGGTCCGCATAGAGGATGATTAGGACCACGGGCCTGAGTGCAGGTGTCTGGGATGGTCTGTACTTGGCTGTGCTGGGGGAGGAGGCCTTTTGCTCCACCCCTTGGCGTCTCTACAAAAACCCTGGGGCAGAGACAGTCAGGGCCCGTTGGAAAAAGTTCCAGGCCCTCTCGAGGCTGTCCTTTATTTTCTATCTGTTTATCTCTACAATATAAATCCTTCTATCTAATATTTCCTGCTGCTTGCACTCAAGAAAACTCTGGGGAGCTGTGGGGTTGGTGGGTAAACGCCCCACAATGCACTCTGGCTCTCACACAGCTGCCTTTTTTTTTTTTTTTTATACTGGGCACAGTGCTAAACACCTGTGGCTGAGCAGTAGAACACACACACACACACACACACACACACACACACACACACACACACACACACACACACACACCACTGTGTCGTCATTTCCTGACCACACTAGAAACCACATTTCAGCTCACTGCGTCCTGATACAAAATACCGAAGTGTGCAAAGGCAGCACACACTAGCTCTCCTGAACTGTCAAAGTTGAGGGCAGCTCCAACAGTCCCCCCAGGATGAGGGTAATGACTGCAGACTGGGCCTGGACCAGCCACTGGATGCCTGGCCAGCTTTCAAAATAATCCTGTGTGGGAGGGAAAACTAACACATTGCTGAATGTCTTCTCCATCCAAGGCTTGACATGTTAATTAGGTCATTTAATCTACCAAAGGCCCTCGAACTGATGCTTTGAAACCTGCTGTCACCACTTTCCAAGGTGTTACATAATAAACACGTGAAAATTCTATAACTTTTCAGTGATTACATGGCATTATACCCAGTGAATACACTATCATTTTTTTTGTGGTACAGTGTGAATGTTTTAATTCCTTGTTACTGCAGATAATTGCAACAGTATATTCCCTTTTTAGAAGGTTATTTTTCACCTGTATAATAGTAGAATTTTCATACGTATGTCACATTATTTCTTGATACATGACATTAATGTATATTCCCTGCCCAGATTACAAATTCTCTTATTAAACTATTATCTCTTTTAGGTGTGGAATTAAACCTCTTTTCTATCACCACACGTCACTGAAGATTATAGAAATCTTTTTAAAAGATTCCAGTCTTTATTAACTATGTGTCCATCTGTGTGTCTTTTAAATTACATGTATCTATGTGTGTCTGTGTAGATATTCCCTGGAGCTGGAGTCACACGAGGGTGTGACCCACCGGATTCGGGTGCTGGGAACTAGGACTCTGCAAGAGCACCGCTAGCTCTTAACCGCCTCTCTAGCTCCTATAAATCTTATTCTGTGATCTTGAATTGTCGGGAGTTTCTTATTTGTTGGCTCTTTCTGTTCGTTTGCCTTTTCCCCCTTCCTTTGGTGTTGAGAAACCAATCCCAAGTCCGTGAGTAGGCTAAGCATCACCGGTTGTACCAGTGAGCTACCTCCCCGACCCCCATGTCTTTGCTATAGTTACAAGAGTTCAGTTCCTAAATTTACCAATTGTGATATTTTTTAGTTTTGTATGCTCACTTGTTTTTCAGGTTTTGCTACAATTCCCCATTTAAAAATTCCTTATGAAAATTTTTAATAGCTGGGTATAATGTTTGCATCTTTTTCTTCTTTCATTTTCGTGTGATAATGTGAGCATTTGAAGTCATGATTATGCCCCTGAGTACTGTTTTGATCGCATCCTATGGAATTTAAAATGTAATGGTTTATTTCTCAGAAAGCCTTCAATTGCAGTTTGATTGCCATTGTGAGTTGACAATGAGTGGCAAGAGTAATTTTAATGCCTAAGCAGATGGAGGATTTGGTTTTGTTTTTAACTTTTATTTCTAATTTCTGATATTGCTTTATAATGGTCTGGGAAGTGGGCCTGTCCATCTTATTTGATTTCTCAAGAAGTTATTAACTTAGGACCTCAGTTTCCAACCCATTGTTATTAATTAACCAATGCCAACACTTAAAAAAAAAAATCTAACTCTTCGTGGAAATCACAGTAACATAAAAGGCAAAAGCAGAACACTTACACTTGAATGGAGACTTGAGAAGCCTAGAAAAGTCCATACGCATGACTCCTTGGCTGACAATGATGCCCCCACACACCTCTGTGAATGCCTAGGGCTTCACAGAACACACTGTTTTCAGCATATGATCAATAGATGTGATAGATGGATTCTTCGAAACAAGACATCTTTTCAAAAAGATCAATACATTACTACTAACTTGAGCTAACTGACTATAACTAAATCATTCTTATTTAATTTTTGTCAACACATGTCATGGCTTGTCAAAGATAACAGAAAGTGTTATGGTACCTATTGATAATCTTCAACCAAATGATGTATTTCTATGACTTTCCCCTCCCCATATTTGTAAAACAAAGACTTCAGTGTTGTAACAATATACTATGAAATATGGTTTAAACTAGGGCTTCTCGAAGCTGGGAATGTGGCTCAGAGGTAGAGAACTTGCTTAGCATATAAGAAGGCCAAGGTTTGACTCTTGACACTTTGCCAACTTTCTAAAATAATACAAATTAAAACCTAAGCCAAGTTTTTCAATCTTGAATGTGCATAGGAATCACCTAAGACTTTATTTTTCCTTTTGGGGGTTGAACATACTATTTTAAAAATGATTTTATAGATAAAACAACACTCAGCCACACTGTGCAACTTACACAAGGTTGCACAGCTGACAGGACACAGACACAAGCTTTGAATAATGCCCTACAGCATCTTCTTCCTCACAATGACACTTTGCATTCTTCTCTCAGTCTCTCCTCTCCCTGTGCCTGCCCCTGCCTCCTGCCCCGAACATCACAAACCCTTCTCTGTTCCATGCACTATAACCAGACCCTGGTTTCAGATCAGTGCTTCAGGTATGCACACACACACACACACACACACACACACACACACACACACACACACGCAATGTATTTTTAAGTAAACATAAAATATGTTCCTTGTGGCTTTTTTTCAAACATCTTTAGTGTTATTTATCCTTCCTTCCTACCCCCTTGTCTTACACTGGCCTCCCTCTCCCCTGCCAGCTAAATCCTTGTCCTGTTTTTCCCATTTCCCCTTCATAGCATATCCCTCTCTCTAAGATCCCCCACCCCCAACATGGTCATTTTTACTTTCCTGGTTTCTGAAATGACTCAAACCTGTTTGTTTGGTTTTTTCATAGTGTATGTACCATTTCTTTTCTCTTTAAATTTTAAACGTTTTTTAGAATTTTATACGTGAATACTGTTTTTACGTCATTTCCACCCCGTCTTCCATTTGCAACTCCTCCCATACTCCCCACATTCTGTCACATTCATAGTCTCCTCTTGAATTATTGTTACACACACACACACACACACACACACACACACACACACACACACACCCTGATGAGTCCGTTAAGTGTTGCTCATGTGTGTATGTGTTTAGGGCTGACCAGTTGGAACTGGATAGCTTACCAGGGGGTTATCCCAGGCGAAGACTGATTCTCCCGGCTCCGCAGCCATTCACTGCCTGTAGTCCTTCACCGAGGGGTAGGCCTGGGAGATTTCTCCTAGCACATGGCTTCAGGTTCTTGCCTGTAACTGAGCACATTGTAGATGCATCTCAGGAGCTGTGGGCAGCTTGCACACATCCTGGGTGAGCTATTATCTTTTTCCTTCTTTTCATCCACCTGTTATAAACAGATTTAAGAAAGACAAAGTCCTGTGTTTCCAGGATCCTGAAGGATTTAATCTGCCCAATGACTTGACCAGTTCCACTAACAGAGCCGGGGAGGTTCAAAGATCCAGCCAGTCTCGCTGCTCTCTAAGTGTGCCACTGGACTCACACATCCATGAATTGTGTGTGTGTGTGTGTGTGTGTGTGTGTGTGTGTGTGTGTGTGTGTTAAAAACGTCTCTTTTCAATTTTTAAAAATATACTGTGCTCCCTCTCCTCTGCTACATTATTGTGACTGAATGTTTGAAACTTTAAATCTCTCTTTCTCTCCTCCAAAGTCTGTTCAATTCTCTTCCAGCTGGAAAAACACACACAGGTCAACACTTTTCTATCCTCCCCTATCTTCTTTATATTTGTGTGCTTTTCTTTTTTTTTGGAGACACCGGTAATAGTTTGGTTTTAGCTTTGTTCCAATGTTCATCCTTTTTACTCTTTCTATGATGATTTGATGATGTGGTTAGGTGGAGTTGCATTAAGACTTAATCATCAAATGACTTTAACAAGAAATCCAGTGGTGATTTAATCGTCAGAGACTATTTTGTCTGCAACTATGACCAATTAATAAAGTCCTACTTTACCACAATGGCCAAAGACCTTTGATCATTTCCCTAAGAGTCAACAATCTAAAAATCTTTTAAAAAAATTTTTTTTTGAGAGGGGCATTGCTAAGGCTTTGCTCTATAGCACAGTCTAGCCCTGAACTACACAGTCTTCTTGCCTCAGCCTCCCTAGTGTTGGGATTACATGTAGGAGCCAAAACGCTTGGCTACTAATTGTTTTTTATTAGTCTACACAGTCTAAAAACTGAAACTCCTTATTTGCTTGGTCTTATGAAATTATTCTCAATTCCTTTAAAAAAGATCCATCTGGTCCACATGAAGACTTAAAATTCAGACATTTTTGAAACCGAGTCTCAGTCTACATTTCTTTTTCAAAGATGTAATGTATGGCTCCTTTGTATGAAATTAGACTAAAGTTATCCGTTTATCAGGAAATTTTACTTTCTTCCAATAGGCAATTGCTATGTCATACCAACATTTATTGAACAAGATAGTTCATTGTCATTTGCTAGAGATTAATTAAAATAAATAGACAAATGTGCAACATTTGTGATGGGAAGTTTCCTTCAGCTATGCACTGAGCAAACTCCCAAAGCTACACATAACAGGCCCACTCTTGTTCACAATATTATTTTTAGAGATGGGAAGAACAGTAGCTGCTAAAAATGGCAGGTTGAGCAACATTTCATTCTCCTGAAACCTCACTAAAATGAAAGTACAAATCCTTTAAAGCATTCACTCATGAGAACAATGAGAAAGAGATGGAAAAATGGTAATTAAAATCGTGCAGGCTAGAAAACAAGAGAATGGATAATAAATGATGCTGCAGACTTTGAAAACCTGAGTGATGCTGTCAATGGGGAAGGTCATGAACAACTCCCTTAAAGTGTAGCAGTGGTTCCCAACCTTCCTAATGCTGTGACCCTTTAATCCAGTTCCTCATGTTATGGTGACCCCAGGCATAAAATTATTTCCATTGCTACTTTATAACTGTAATTTTGCTACTGTTGTGAATCATAATGTAAGTATCTGTGTTTTCTGATAGTCTAAGGTGACCCCTGTCAAAGGATCATTCAATCCCCAAAGGGGTTGTGATCCACAAGTTGAGAAAAGCTGGTGTGGACACTGGCTGCCCAGGAACACAGTGGATTTTTGAATGACTAAAAGCAGAGATAGTTTTCAGTCATCTGAATTTATCTCAACTACCCCACACAACTCCCACTTAATGAAGCCTGAGCCTAGCCTTCCCTTCCCTTGGTCGAAGCCTGAAGGCATATTTGAAGGACCTGGTAGATTCTGAAGTGGAAAAAAACACATGCAGTCAAGGAGGGCAACATGTGTTGACAATAAGTAAATGCTAAAGTCTCCATTCTGCCTCAGCTCCCCAAGCATTAGTGCCCAGGCATGTGCCTGACAGGAGAGCCAATATCTCTTCTCTTGATATATGAGCATCACAACAAAATGCCGGACAAGTTTATTGACATCATGGGTTTCCAGATTATGCTGTGTGTCCTAAATACTAGTCATGCCTAGAGCTGTCTTTCAACTTTTAAGAATCTCCTTATTAAAAATAAGATAATTAAGGTCAAAAGACATGAAGAAAGTCTCAGACACAAAAAATAGGGACTAATGTTCACAAACAACAAAAATCAAGACAGGAAATGGAATCCATGCAGAGAGCTGGAAAAGCAAATTATCAATGTTCTCTGAGGAATTAGAAAAGACACTGGCCCCATTCAACATAATAAAAAGACAAAAAAAATGAACAATGGATTAAAGATACTGTAACAGAAATGAGAAAACTGAATAAAGATGTCAGATTATAAAACAAAATATCTAAAGAAAAAGAAAAACAAAACCAAATGAAAACACCTTTACTGGGAGAAAAAGACAATACTTACTGGACGGGAGACACTATAGCTGGGAAATCTCGAGATGAGGCCCATTCTCCGCACTCTGGTGGTGCTCACCCCTCTGTACTTGAAGGCCGGAACCTTACTCAACGTTGGAATGAAGAAGAGGAAGGAATAGGGAACGAACATGAGTAAGAGGCTTGGTAAGATGAACAACACGGAAAAGCTTAGTTTGAGAACACTAGAGAATGGAGAAACTGAGTTTCGGGTGGATAAGAATAATAACACAGGCATCTATGGAAACCCAAATTAAGGAAATTACGTGAAGCCAATTGTGTGGTGAAATAAAGTACAGAAAATTGTATTTCCCACATGACTCAAGTTCTAAGCGGCTTTTACATAAAAATGATTTTGTCTACATTGTTTATGTAGAAAATGTAAGTGGAAAGACACTAGACAGAGAAAAAGGAAACTAAACCCTTGCCTTCCTTATAATGTGCAATCTAAAAATGTCTGAAGGCTGAAAAAGCAAACGGTGTGCTTCTCGGAAACATGAGGACAAATCCTTTAAAAAGTGAACATACTTTCAGAAATGGGAAGACGGGGGAGGAAGGAGACAGTCATCTATTCTCTTGTTGTTGTTGTTTTATTGCTATTATTAACAGGCCTTGAAAAGCAATCTGATTATACAAATGATGAAAGTATATTCGTATTTCAACAACACTAAAAATCTACTGTGCAAATAGAATTATGCAAGTGGACTCGTATCGAGGGAAGACAAATTAGAAAGCATCCAGGAAAGAAAAAAGACCGCCCAGGAGAGAAGCAGACAGCCCCCACCACGGTCCCACTCTCTAAAATTAAACTGGGTTTGCAGAGAACCTGGAAACGTCGAGCATGCTGGGTAAACTGAACTGCCGGGGGGACGCTGCTAACGCGGCTAGGCACCTCATCCTGTCAGAACGCAGCCGCCTCCAGTGATGCGCAGGATGAAGTAATTCTGTAACTTGAGTTGGGCAAGAATAAAAGCAGACACTACTTGAGGAAATCTTACTGGGTTTGAAGAAGACCCAGGGGTGAGAGCGCTGTTTCTACACCTGCCCCAGTCAGTGTCAGCTTCCCTGTGCCTCTTCCCAGGAGGCCCCTTTCACCTCCCATGCTGCACCTGGTGATACCTGCTGCCTTCCCTCATCCGATGATAAACCAAGAGCTAGTCTAGCAGTGTGGGAAAATCCCTTTTCTCTCTGTTTCAGCACAGTCAAGGTTAGCATTTCAAGAGTCTATTGAGAAAGCACATTAAAAGGAACAAAACAAACTGGCAAAACCCTAAAAGCAGTTTTCTTTCCAAAGCCTAACACCTCTCTCTGGCCAGAGACTGGTGTGTCTTTATCTGTACCCTTTATAGAGGCCCCGCTTCACTCTCCTTCTCTAGCTCCAACATTATCTCCTAATCTTGGTCCAGATCACACATCTAATGGAGAAGAAAAGAGTAGTGTAGGATTATATAATGGAAGGAAGTTTCCAGAAACAAACTAGAGTAAAAAAGAGAATAAATAAAGATTTTTGGAAGATTTGATCTGTTTAAACAGATATAAGTGAATTATCACTTTGAGAATTTCTTTTGTTTTTTAATTTCTGTCTTAAGCTTTAAAAATACTTTCTTCTTTCATTTCTTTCAACTATAGTAAAAGATTGGCTTATGTAAAAAACAAAACAGTAGATACTTGGTAGGTCATCTTCCCCCCGCCCCCATCTCTGGTATCTTTGAGAGTTTTGCTGGCCTTGAACTTGAGGATTCTCTGCCTCAGTCAGTCACCTCTTGCTGACACAGAAGTGGTCCCGATCAGAAAGTACACACTCTTTACAACAGCGCCTTTATGGTCAGGAAGACACCCCTTAGGAACTCTCTTTACAGTGATGTCTTCTGCTGTATTTTCACCGAGACAAAGTCTGTCATTTCCATTACTGTGGCTGTGACTGAGACCTTCATATACCAGGGAAAATAACTGAGCGATTTTCAGTTGACCATGAGAATACTATCTGTTGTTTGGATTGCAGATAAAGACCAAGGCCTGTCCTTTTCATTCCCTGACAACTACTTTCTAAAATAAACCCAATAGAATTGTACCAAATATAAGAAGTGCTATGTGTTTATGATAGCAAATGTCATTGAATGTGGACTTCTGATGCAATTTAAGGGGCAATGTCAGGATTTTTGTCACTGTTATTTTTATAATTTGTGCCTATTGTTTAGATTAGCATGGAGACATTTTATGTTAGCTTCAATTTTGTAAAAATTGTCACATATAAACAAACACAAAGAATGAACTGGTGAGCTGGGCTGTAGGTTTGGGGAAGAGTGCTTGTCTAGCATGTTCGATACACTTGGGTCAACCCCCAGCATGACCAAAAACACATAAGCAAAACTGAGTGAACTAGTATTTCCCTTTTCCAGTCCAAGAAATGCACAGACAGGCAATCATGGAATCTGTGGAGTTGTTTGGGTAGTACTGACATTTTAACATTAAACCTTTCAGTCTACGACCACTAATACATCTTTGCATTGATGTTTGACTTTTAAAATTCTTCCTCAGTGTTTTGTAGTGTGTGAGCATGATTTCACCCAGATGTGAAATCTAAACTAGTCAAACTTAGAGGACAAGAGTGTGGCTATTAGGGGTATCAAGAGAGAACGTGGAAGTAGTTAATCTGTGAGAACGAAGTCAGCTCTACAAGTTGGGGAAGCCTAGAGACCCACTGTGCCGCACTGCCCCGGTAGTGTGCTGTATACATGCTTTAAAGGAGCAGAGCTCAGGTCAAGAAGTCATTACCATGCTATAATAAAATGAAGTTAAGATCTCCAAAGCTAGAGAGTCCATGAAAGTGATTCATGGCCCTCTTCTTAGTAATGTGAATTCCACATTTCCCAAGTACAAAGTAAGCAACTCTGACTTCATTGTGAAGTCATTCTCAAGCCCCATAACAACTTGCAGAAATGTCTGGTGGCCTGAGAATGTCTTTCTGTCCCTGGTAGGATGTGTGTAATATGGTTCTCAGGTCTTCATGAGTAGTGACTGGTCAGTACTAAGGCCTGAATCATCTTGAGTGAAGTCCCCAGGCCTTGGGGAGCTGCTTCTGAAGACTGTAAACCAAGAGAAAAGTAATTCTAAAAACATTCTGAAAACAAAACAGGGTGGAGAACTATTATAGGAAGAACATGGCTGTCCCCTACTCTACAATTTACGGTGGTGTGTGACAACAGAATGTCAGGTTGACCGTCTCTGCAGGTGAATAACCAAGTGAAGTGCTATTGCTTCATTGAGCAGCAGCCCAGACCAGCTTCCACCTCAATTAGTTGAAGAAGATTAGGTGATGACTGTTTGGAAACCTAGAGCAGCCAAAATCACCACCACCCAGAGCCAGAGGATTCAAAATCTCTACCCACTAAGCAATGGTAGACTGGGATCGGTGATTGCCACACGTGGCCTTTACCCCATCCTCCCTCCCTCTTTTGTGTGTCCGCTGGCCCAGCCCTATGTGACATCTACTTTGACCTGGGTATTTCTCTCCCTTCCAGGAGGTTCTTAACATTATCAGTTTTTGATACATGGCTCTCTTCCTTCTCACGGTAGCCTGGATTGCAGTGGTCTCCTTCTACGGTAGTGTTTATAGCTGACTTTAGGAGCACTTTTATTCCAGGAGAAAGGAAGACAGACCCAGAGGGCTGGCATTTATTAAAGAAGCTGGGTTGCTAGTGTCATTACTTTCGTCCTGACTTGGAAGAAGCCATTTCACAAGGGAAAATATGCCTTTTCTATACCAAGGACATCATCTCACGATAATAGGTTTGAAAAATGATCAAATGGGTAATTAACATTAAATGTGTGGAGCTTCACACCACAGGAAATGATTGAGAAAAAGGCAGGCATTGCCAGCTTTACACTTGGGCATAAGCCTGTTGCTGAGTCTCTTAGAAGAAAAAAATTTAAAAATTGTGTTAGACAAATCAAACCTTAGTTATTAGCTAGCCAGAGGCAACACATTTGAAACTTAAAGTCTGTCTCTAATCACTACACTGTAAGTAGTTTGCTCGATAGCTTTAGGCAAGTCATTTGACCTCTTAGTGGTTCATATTTCCTCATCTTCAAAATGTGTGTATTAGCAGTAGTATTCATGAAAAATTATCACAAAAGACTTGGGAAATATTGATGTAAAGTAATGATGTACTTCTTTTATAAGACCTACTACTGATTTTGCTGTCTTGTACATAATAGGCAGCTCAATGAATGTTTATTATATTGATGGATGAATGGATCAATAGCTGGACTGATGACTGAGTAGGCAAATGGATGATTTAAACATGCTTTGTGATATTTTATTTACACAGGCTGTTCTAGAATATTTTATGACGTGTGCATATCTGTCTTAGGGTTTTATTGCTGTGAAGAGATACCATGATCACAGCAACTCTTATACAGGAAAACATTTAATTGGGGATGGCTCATAGTTTCAGAGTTTTAGTCCATTATTGTCATGGTAGGAAGCATGGTGGCATGCAGACAGACATGGTGCTGGAGAAGTAGCTGAGAGTTCTATATCTGGAAGGACAGGCAGCAGTAAGAGAGAGAGCTACTGACCTGGATTGAGCTTCTGAAATCCCAAAGCCTACCCTTAGTGACACAGTTTCTCCAACTGGACTACACCTGCTACAACAAGGCCACACCTCCCAATATTGCCACTTCTTATGAGCCTATGGGGGCCATTTTCATTTCAACCACCACAGTGTCTGTGTACACTCTTAAAACATTGTCCGATCATCCCCACTCAGTGCCAGTGGGGTCAATCTTCCCTCTCCACTCCTCTCTGTTCATTTCCTCTCACTCTTTGCTCATTTCCATCCCTTTCTGCAGGAATCCCTTACCCTTTAACCTTTTACTCCTTAGATAACCTCATCTCCTCCTCCTCAGCCATTTCACCGCCAACCCAGATTGCCCATGCCTAGTCTGTAAAGATGAGACAAATAAAAACATTTAGTCACTCACACAAAGAGCCCAGGGAAAGAAGATCGGTGCTCAACAGTGGTGTTCCAATCTGTCTGTCTTTCCATATTAATCCAGTCACTAACAACTGACTCAGAGAAAAAAGGGCATCCAGCCCTCATGCCCTCTGGGGATGTCTCCAAACAACTGATCATGGGGACAGTTTTTGAGAAAGTTCCTTGGCTCTGGAAGGCCAGCCAGCAATCAGCTACACAGCACAGCTTACCCAGCTGGGCCTGGTGGCATAGACCCGCACCCCCAGCCACTGAAGAGGCTAAGTCAGGGAGAATACAAGTTCATAGTCAGCTTGAGGAACCGAGTGAGATCCTGTCTCAAAACAATAACAATAACGGAGATAAAAGAGTTCTTGGGATATAGTTCAATGGTAGCATGATTGTCTAACACACACCAGACCACAGGTTCAATCCTCAGTACTGAGAGAGAAGCTGGGTGGGGGTGGGGGGACACCTTATCAAATATTCTGTGGGATTATGGCAGGGTCTGATCACAGCCTTGAATTTAATATATGCTCTATAAGATCTCTCTTGAACTTCATGTCCAAATCAAAATTAGTTTAAAAGAATAAAAAATCAAGACTGTACTCACTTTTGTGGCTGTTCAGTTCATAGTGGGAAAGTCTAACTCTTCCCTAAGCCTCCTAGATGCTGGTGCAGTTCCCACATTTTATTTTAGCTTGGTTTTTAAATTTCACTAGCTGGAAAGAAAGAGTGGTGTGGTGGTATTTTATTTGTGCTGAAATGTGGTGATATTTTATTTGTGTTTTAATAAATAAAGCTTGCCTGGAGATCAGAGGGAAAAGGCCAGCCATTAAGTAAGCGAAGAAGTCAGGCAGCACACGCCCTTGATCCTATCACTGGCAGGCAGGATCTCTGTGTGTCCAAGGCCACACTGGAAACAGAGCCAGGTGTGGTGGCACATGCCTTAAATTCCAAAACTAGTTAACCATGGAGGTCTGGAAGTCTGTACAGACAGACAGGAAGTGACAGAGCTATGTAGGAAGAGGAAGTGATGTAGTTGAACAGAGAGAGCAAATCAGATGGCAGAACAGCAAGGCATATAGACGTGGGTAGACAGGAAGTAACTCGTTTTTGGAAGCTGCAGAGGTGGTGAGGTAAGGTTGGCTGGTGGCTTTTCCTATTTCCCTGATCTCTCTAAGGCTTTCACCCCTATATTTGGCTCTGTGTTTTTTATTTAATAAAACCATTTAGAAAATCATCTACAGAGTGGAACAGTCAAGGCAGGGTACATGGAGAGAGCTTCACAGTCAGTGTGGGATAACTACACATTTTTCAAATAACCCCAGACTGAAAGGTTTCCAAGCTCCAAAAACCAGTCCATTCTGCTCATGACTGCTGGGCAATCTGCCTCAGATGACTCACAGTCCAAGAGTGTTATCATTGAGTGCTTTGAGTAAGGATGCAGTCAGGGCCAGAGAGCTGGACAGAGGTCTGGAGCTAAAGCTGCAATCAAGATCTTGAGATGTCAAGTGGCCAGGGTCACATGGGTAGTCTGTGAGCACTGGATTCCAGACTTGCAAAGGTTGGCTAAGAATGGGTTTCTACACTGACTAGTCATTTCCATTAGTTCTTTAAATCTCAAAAACAGCACAGCAATTTCACCATTGAGGTTTTTTAAAAGCCCCTTTCATAGTTCAATCTTTAAATCCTTTGCATTCAAGACTGGTTTCAGAATGTCCTCCTTTTCCTCTGGAGCCTGAATAAAAATGTCCTTAGAAACACTGGTGTTTTCTCTCTGCAGCAAGCAGAAGAGGGCTAGACAGTACACGCTCTAAAACACAGAATTCTCCAAAGTTGGCCTCATAGAAGTTGAGGGTAGAATGCTGGTGGGAAGGCAAGGGGATAGGCGATTGATGGACACTAGG